GATGCTTTTTAAACTGACTCTATGGGAGCTGTGAGAATGAACCAGATACATAAAGCTGTGGGCCGGACAACCAAAACAAAGAGCCTGACATGAGCTGAGTCATAAATCCCTGTAGCTGAAGCAGCTCGCATGACACAAAGTAGACGACGTGCAGAGAACAGAACAACGAGGAATGAAGGAATGGATCTATTACTCAAATTCAGAACATGCATACTGATTTTCACAAAAACATTCTAGCACCTACAGGGTATTTCAATACACACACACAGTCAGGTTGAATATGTATACAGATGTATACATATTCATTTAAACATCTTGTCTTTGCACATTTTTGATTTGTGGTTGTTTTATTCATGGGTGAATTCACTTATTTAAACCTTGTGTATACATGAGGTCATCTATTGAACCTCTTCTTTCCAATATGTAAAATATTCATTTTTACTGTCTCTGTCGAACTGTTTAATGAGCGATGAGGGAAGATGGGAGGTCTCAATTCAAGATTTAGATAAATAAACGCATAACAAGAAGGGATTTATGGTGCATGGAGCATAATAAGCATCCGCTAATAACATATAATTAAAATGAGAAATGCTCAGAATAAAAAAGAAAGCAGCAGGGGGAAGCTCAGTGCAGTAGATTATTAGAAAATCAAGAAAAAAGTCCCACAACCACAATTCAACAAACATTTGGGGTAAATTAAAAAGAGGGTCTCATTTGATATCTAAGCTTTATGTTAGAAAATACAACCTGTTCTCTCTCCAGTTTAAACCTGCAGAAAAATCCAGTTTGACTTCACCAGTCACACAACAGAGTTTCATCCACTGCAGGAGCGAATCAGCTTTCTACTGCCACCGTCTCCCATTCATCACTGCTTTTTAAATTCCATTTTAAGAGGATGGGCCGTGGACTTCAGAGACAGATTGAAAGAGCGGTGAGCCCAGGGGGGAAGCAGCTTTCTGAATTCCCAGCTGTTGCAGCATTTGGACTCTGTTATAGATGATGCCTTGTAATTGTAATATCTAATTACACTGACACGGGGCTTCGCAGCTGTCTCATGCGCAGCGTGACATCTTAATAGTTCCCCAGCTTCTTTGTTCTCGGTAAGAAAAGACAGGAAAATGAAATGTCTTGAAAGGATTCACAGCTTCAAGGCCAGTCACTGGAAATTAAACATCAATGTCCTCAACCATTGTCTCATTTTGACACGTTTGGATAAATATAAAAAAGACCTTTCTAATTGTTTCATGTGGAAAACTGTGCAACAAAAACTAGAGCGTTATTTATGTGCTCGTGATTTTAATTCAAGAATGTTTTTCCAGGTTAATTCTATTAATTTGACTCAAAAACATAAAAACAATCTCTCAAAAAAGATGTCAGAAAAATTTAAAAGTCAAATCGTACTTGAATATTCTGCAGAGAGGATCCCTGCATGAGTTTGACAACTGACTCAGACAAATTACTCAGACATGCTGAGGGACAATATGTCCCAGATACGATGTCGCTCTCTCTCAGCACCATCTAGTGGTCATAAACATGGAAAATTCATGAGTGCTCGAGTACAGAGGCAA